CCCTACAATACCCACGTTTCCCTAATAGATGGCATAGAAAATGATAAAAGCATATTAGCATTTTAGCCTTTATGCATGGCTTTAACATGTCGTTTATCTTTTTGGAGACAATTGTGGGCCCGTGAGTCAAAAACTTTGCCCACGCTTAACAAACACAAATTAGTAACGAATGAAACAAACATCCCACTACTGGAAGTAGAACCTCTATTTACCCACAAATAGGAAAAGCAACCAGAACTAATGCTAAATGCTCACTGACTGAGGACCTTGAGAACAGACCACATGGCGTTTACTTCTCCGGGTCAATTCACACTGACACTAAAACTAACCAACAAAAAAAAAAGATCGACCTCATGCTATGTGTATATATAATCGGTATAATGTAACATTTAATGAATGTTGTGTAATTTGTCAAATTGCACTAAAAGCCAGACCGGTTAATTTTCTTACAATTCCATGTGAACAAAGTCGGGTGGTTGCCCTGCAGGTCATGAAACGTATTGGATGCATTTTCTCCTTTCACTTTCTCACAGTATGGCACGCTTTACATGCCGACAAGCTGTCATCCATGAAGACAACCTTGTCATTTTTTATATAGCCAGAATAATCATACATCTCTGATTTAATGTCACTTGTTTAAGGGACTAAGTCTTTCTTTGCCATGTTTCCCCACTGGGCAGAAACTGAAAACAAAGCAACACAGGCTGGTGTTGGGTAATTTTGTTTTCAGTCTGTTTGAGAAGCGCTTAACCATAGTTCTGGCATAATATTTCCTGATGGTGTTCAGGAAATATCGCAATCGATTAATCGCGGCACTTAATATCACACTTAATTCTGGTATTGGGTAATCGTTAGTGATGTTCGATACCACCAATTTCCTTTCCGATCCGATACCGAGTAAAATTCGGGCTGGTATCGCCGATACCGATATCGATATTTTATCATTTGTCTTTTAAATTAAAAAAAAAGTGTATTTCAAATCATAGCTTCTTTAAGAATCCAAGGCAGGAGTTATTTATTTATTTTAAACTCTGTAGTGTACTGAGGTAGCTGCCTCATTTACTATACAGTCAACACAACAATAGAAAAACCTGAGAACACAATCATATAAAATATGTCAAAACAATGTTTCAAACTCTGAAAACATGTTATTTGTAAAACAAAAATAAATAAA